TTCTGCGAAAAAAAAATTTGCAATGTTGTACATATTTTGTTATACACGTTAATTAAATATGCGGGTGAGACGTCCTCTAAATAATAAAAAATATATACCTACTTACATATTACTAATATTTTAAAATATAACATAATAATTAGAAGATTTGTTTTTGAATTCGTCGATATAGTCACTCTGACCGTTGTTTTTATGATGATACATTTACATTTTAAGCGAGTTATGAATATTTTAAGATATAAAAATGCTCTTAAACGACCACTCGTCGTTGTAATCTTCGGCTGTGTGCGATATTGCTGATATATCATAAAATCGTTGATGTAACATCTATACTATATATAGTTTCACAGAATCCGACATTGTTGTGCGATTTGCGTGGAACAACGGTGCTTTTGCGTTTTCGATATGTAGTTTTACGACTCCAACTTGTTATATATAATAGGTACATGTTTAGTATTATATTGATCGTTGTCGACAATTCATTTCACGTTTTGGGTGCATAATATACAACCATAAAACATAATATCGGTGCGCGCATGGCCCATACCTCTTGACTATTACAACTCTCATTGGTGTACAGGGTCGACGACTTTTGTCTTATTTCAAAGCTCCTTTCACATGGGACACTTTGAGGCTTTCCACTTAAAGAATCACGTGACTAGAAATATATATATACATATATAGCGTCAAATACAAATAATGTTAGTGTGMGATTCCGTCATACACTCATGCCCTGCTCTTGGGTGTAGTCGGAAAGCGTCTCCTGCAGCTAGTAGAATTATAACATTTATATTGTATATTTATATTAACGACACGGTACGTGTTTTACTGCACGTGTTATTATATACATATATATATATTTCCGATTCCGTTTACGTCATATTATTTGCGTCGGGGGACACGTCTTGTAAAAATTGGTGGAACGTTGTCGATAACGTACCGTTACGCTACGCCGTTGCTTTTAAATTTTTCTGGTCTATATACGATAGATCGTTTAGATTAGTTACTTAGTTACTTACTGTCATGTCATGTTGTCGAGTCTCTGCTGGGATACATCTGTCTAACATTTATGTTAATTATTAGGTCTATTGTCAGGGGTCAGGAACCTTTTCGTATAGGAAACAGACATTCTTTTTAAAAAATCATTAAACCATGATGATGTCTAGAGAGCCGCCCAGGTTGTTCGGTTTGAAAATCTTTTTTTTTTTAGTCAATATAGWTTGATGAAAGACATAAACGCCAAAATGAGATGATATGAAAAAAAAGTCGTATCGTACCTACACAAGTGCCAAAATCCTAAATTTCTGTGTGCGACGGTGAATAGATATTAAATAACAGATAATACATTTAAAACTAACCAATGTATTTGTACATTTATATTGATTTTTATGTGTTTATCATAATTTACTATTGAATTTTTTTTTTGTAAAATCGTTTTAAAAATTTAGTACAATTTATTATTGCACCTACATTGTTTTAATATAATTTTTATAAGATATTCTATTATACTATTTTTAAATAACCACTTACATAAAATGTTAATTTAGCCTCGAATGATATGTCATTTTTGCACTTTTGGCGCTTATGTCATATGTTGGGTATAACAGGTATACAATGTTAGATTGGCGTTTATGTCTTAAACATTTTGGCGCAAATAATAGGTCATTTTCGTAACTTTGGAGCTTGTCATTTAGCCCGTATAGTATTTTGCCATTATTTTAATTAAAATTTGTATTTTACTGGTTACGATATTATATATTGATGCATTTTACAAAGAGCCATATAGATTACAATACGTTAATGAGCCGCAGGTTCCCGACCACTGGTCTAGGTGGTACATATACTCTAACAGCACTGAAATATTKATATTTATCAACATCAATTTCGTTTTTCCCAATTATTTACACTTAACTCCTCATGCGCGTTTGTATTTTAATCGTAAACCACGCACTATTCATGCTCGACATTGTGGGATTATACAAATATTTAGATTTTAAGACTTTTTTTTTAATATTACCGACTTTCGTAGTATTTGAAATTTATAATAATGCCATTGAGCATTGGGTGATATATTATGCA